CGAGGGCTTCCACCTACCCTCCACTACATTTCAGCATGCATCTACCCGTTTTTCTGGCCGGATTCCCGTCCAGAAACTCGCCCCTCAGAGTCTGCGAGTATATGCACTAACAGACGGTGCAGTTAACGGTCACTAACGGTTCCGAACCAGGGCGGATGACCACAGCCGGCGGTATACTTGGGCAGAACGTGACATCACCGAAGTTTTCAGGTTCTATCCCTACGTACACGTTGTTATCAATCTGCCTACCGCTTGCAGCAGAGACGGCTGTGTTCCTAGAGAACGTGCTGTAGCAGAACTTAACCCCTGGGTCGATGTTATCAATGAAGACAGCGCCTCCCTGTCCTCCCACCTTCGTGGCACGGTTGCCTTGGAATACTGTGCTCCTGAAGGTCGCCTCCGTTCCGTCTTCGTCCGTTAGGTAAACGGCCCCGCCATCGCCAGCTTCGTTGTTAAGAAACTGGCATCGATCGCACTGTATATCACTCTCCACGTTCTTGATTGCCCCTCCTTCCACGCCTTTGTTGTTCCGAAAGATCACGTTGGTTGCCTTGAGAGTAGCAAAGGAGTCAAGAAGAATGGCACCCCCGCTACTTCCGGTGTTTGATTCGAAGGTGGTAGATTGAATGTCTAAACTGCCTTCCCAAATGCTGATGCCGCCGGTGTCTTCAGGATTGACATTGCTAGAGACAAGGCAGTTCTTCATGAAAAGGGTCCCGGGCTTAAATACCACAGGAGAGTTATCTTGACCGGCGCACCGCATTCTTGTGATGTGTAGGTTCTCTAGATGAACGCGTCGAGGAAATCGAATGAAGGTGTACTTGTCTGCGCCGTCGATCTTGCACCGGCCCTGTCCGCAGCCGCCGACGATCTTCACCTCCGGACAAGCCGACGAATTCACATCCGGAAGGTTTGACGTCAACAATATGTCAGAGGTCACCACCAGAGAGCATGTTGACGTCACCGCTTTCACGAGATCGGCCTGCGTCGTCTGCGCGGCGGTGGCCACGGCGACCGTGGCGGCCGCCATAGCCGTCATCATCATCAGCATCACCCTCAATTTAGCCGTCGTCATCGAGGAGACGACAAGGCTCGTACAGAGGAAGGACAACGAGCACGACGCGGAAGACATGAGCCTTGCCATCGTCCTCAACCTCCTCACTGATCAGATCTGAGCCGTGGATCTCACGTTCGCTACCTCCTGTCGAGGATCAGACGAAACCCCCCCCTTTTGTTTTGTTTCGTTTATTACGTGTGTGTGTGTGTGTGTGTGTGTGTGTGTGTGTGAGAGAGAGAGAGAGAGAGAGAGAGAGAGAGAGAGAGCGAGAGAG